CATGGGTACTACCCAACATCCACACTGAGGTTTCATCCCGGGTTCTATCTAGGAAAGCTACCTATGGCAGGTGTTCGGTCGCTTCAACCACCATAAGTCTCTATTCATACATCTAACCTCGATTTGCTTGATGGCGCATACCCATCTAACTCTAAAACTCCAAACCCAACGTAGAAGCATAAAGTAGGCTAGTAAAGAGAAGATTAGGGCAACTTACCCAAACACAATTAAAGTTAGAATAGCAACAAAATCAACTAGATAAACACATTAATTCATTCAAATCCAAAAATATCCATACACGCATAGTAAACCCTCACACTAGGGTTTGGATTTAGAACCCTTAGTACCTTAGAGGACTACTCCATAAAGGAGGGAAGAAGATACATAGAAGAAATTGAAGAAGACTTAAGTTTGAGGAAGATGCCTCCACTCTTCTAGCTACTTCTTCTCCTCTTCTCCTTCCTTTAGCTTCTCTCTCTTCTCTCTCCCTAAAACCACAAATTCTATCTCAAAATAAGTTCTCCTAAATTGGTGAAAGGGGTGTTCTATTTATAGGCAATCTGGGGACAGAGAAGTTCGCAGCCAGTAGTTGCGTAGATCGCGGTCGTGATCGTCAGGGGTGTGGCTTCGATCTTGAAACGCAGTCGTCCTGGCCTTCGGAAATGAGGGGATCGTAGGATGACTTCGCGTTTGCAATCCTTGAATCCCGACCGCTCTCTTCCTCGCAGTCAGAAAACACTATGGCCGTGATTAGACTGGGGAAACTCTATGTTTCTTCTCGGCTCCTTCTTCACGAAGTTCCCGCCCTGAGCCCACCAATTCGCTTCCGCGATCCTGGGCTTCTAGGCCACGATCTTCAGCTTGACTTCGCGGTCCATGATCTTGGACGTGATCTTCACTTGTAGGCCACGATCTCAAGTCTTCTCCCCCCTTGCCACACTTGTGACCTTTTTTTGTAACTAATTGGCATATATCGTCTAATACACCCTAAAATCACATCGAATTCAAATAGGAACGAAGTACGAATGCAATTGACGATGTTCAAGCAATTATCAATATTTGTGTAAGAGTAAACCCAACAACATTGTCTTTTTCTTAATCCTCGAGTTTTTTCCCCCTTCTCTAATGGCTTAAGTTCCCTTCCCTTCCATTATTCACCAAGACCCCTCACTTCACTCTACACGTGGTAAGAGATGAATAACTTGTGGCAACAAATGTCACTTAATGGAGCTCTGTTAGCTTCCTTCGTTTCCCCTGTCTTTCTCACTATCGTTCTCATTGTGCTGCTTTTTTTTGGGTACTCTAATCTAAAATGGTCTACTATTCCTTCATCGGCATGTAGTTCTCTTTTAAATATCATCTCCGACCACCCTCACTCTCTCAACTGCTACCTGGTTGGCTTTTTGAATCTGGCTAGCATCGAGAATTCTACATGAACTAAAAGAGCGTCGATCAATTGCATGCAATTTGATCGATTGTCCTTGTTCCTCTCATGTTCATCTTCATGTCTTAACTCTTCTGCCAATTGTGGTGGCTTCTTCCAATCATCCTCTTTTTCTAATTGCTTGCCCTGTTTTTACAATTACCCAATTAGATTGAAAATAAAACAGGGTGCCTAGAGTTCGTTACTTATCCTCGACGGTTCTGGATTTTGAGAAGCGAAATCGGCGGCGACGGTGCAAGGAATTGGCGACTACTGGCTTGCATAGATTATCCTCGACGGTTCTGAATTTTGTGACTACAGGTTTGGGAAACGACAACAGCAACGATGCTGCATATCGCCAACCCGAGGTGGAGCCTAATCGTTGACTTGCTTGGATAGCCGCCGACCGATTTGCCGACGGCGAGAAGATGAAGAGACGCATAGATGCCCGAGGAGGAGGCCTAATCGTTGACTTTGCTTGGCTAGCCACCAACCGATTTGCCGATTGGGGAAAGACGGCGAGAAGATGAAGAGAAGCATAGACGCGGGGAGAAGGTGAGAGGAGGTGAGAGTCTTGAATCAACGGCTGAGATGGAATCTTAGAGTGTGATGGACGACGATCCATATGGTATGCAGGATACTTAGTGTAGACCCGTCCACTTTGCACTGGACCCCTTAAGCAATTAGGCGCTATTTATATTCTAATGCAGGATACTTAGTGTAGACCCGTCCACTTTGCACTGGACCCCTTAAGCATATAGGCGCTTTATATATACTATTAATTATGTTGAGATATCCTCCCGGTTTGTTGTTGTGAATTGTGATTGTTAGAAAATACCTATTCAAATAATTAGAACCACCGACCACGTATTGTGTACCTGTGCAGTTGACACTTGTAGGTATCCTAATGCAAAACCGGCTCTGGAACAATGGTCCAAAGTGACGTAGAGCAAACGCGTGAGAGAGAAGCCAAAGAGCTTTCGGATGCTTCTGTAGACCTGGCCAATGGCCAATTAATTAACCCTCCAAGGATTTGGTCACCTTGAAATCCATTTCTATATAAACGTCCCAGACCACCACAATTATACGTACAATCCCAGTCCTTGCTTGCTATATATATAGTTGAACCCAGAAACAAACGTCATACATTACTATTCTTTGCCTTTTTCATAGTCCATTAATCAGCGCGCAATGGCTCACCGGATTGCTTTCCTAGGCTTCGTAGCTCTTGCTGTTTGCGCAAGTCTGTCATTGGCTGCCGATCCCGCCAACCTTCAGGATTTCTGTGTGGCAGATGCTAGCGGCAACACCCGAATGAATGGCCTGGCTTGTAAGAATCCTGCCATGGTTCAAGCAAGTGATTTTGCATTTAGTGGGCTTCACATTCCTGGCAATACCTCGAATGCAGTGGGCTCCAGGGTCACTCCAGTTGCGGTGACCCAGATTCCTGGACTTAACACCCTTGGAATCTCAATGGTTCGAATTGACTATGCTCCCTGGGGTATCAATTCACTTCATACTCACCCTCGTGCTACCGAGATCCTCACCGTCATCGAAGGCTCTCTCGAAGTTGGATTCGTGACATCCAACCCTGAGAATCGCCACATTACCAAGATCCTTAAGAAGGGAGATGTGTTCGTCTTTCCGGTTGGGTTGATCCACTACCAACGCAATATTGGGTACGGAAATGCTGTTGCTATAGCTGCATTAAGCAGCCAGAACCCTGGAGTCATCACCATCGCCAATACTGTTTTTGGATCCAAACCCGACATATCTACAGACCTTCTCGCCAAGGCATTCCAAGTTGACAAGAGCCTTGTGTGGCAACTCCAAGCTAAGTTCTAGGACAACCTTGATGGACTACTAAAAACAAGGGATGATACAACGGATACTCCTCCAATATTAAAATCATTTTCAATTTATTTTCAATATGTCGAATTAAACGCCATGACCATATGGTATTTATTTTTTTTCCTCGTTCCAAGCCTTTCATAGTTTTCAATATTTTCATTTAATTGATTTATGTATGTGTCCTACTCAATATTATTCAAAGTAAAATCCTTTTTTATCTTGTTTGATGTTTCTATTTTAATATTTTTTTTAAGCACACAGACGAATATTCCCTCTTCTCCTTCATATTGAGCTTGTGTTCGAGGTTATTGACTTGTATATGATCTCACTATTAGGTATACTAGATTTTTGGCCCGTGCTTCACACCGTTAAGACATTGAGTATAGCTAAAATAAAACAATTCATAAAATACTTGTTTAAATTACTTCTATAAGTTTTGTGAACTGACTTAATCATTCCGGGATATTTACATAATGCATTTGTATAATCGATATATAATAAATAACAATCCCTCCATAAACTTCCATTGATATATAATGAAAAGACTAAAGTTGCGGAAAATATTACATTTTATTAAACGGTTACGTTAAAATGATTGATTTTATATAACCTTTTGTAATGCAAATTGATGAGACTGACAACACTTTAGATAATAATAAGAAATTTATATTCAACTTATATTACGAGAAACTGACATAATAGGTTCTAGTCTTTAGACAATAATAAGAAATTTATATTCAACTTATATTACCAGAAACTTACATAATAGGTTCTAGTCTTTGGTACATAAGAAATAACTATCACTTTGAAATACAATTAGAAAGGAAATCGATTCCAATTTATATTAAAATAATTTTATGTTGGCCAAAAAAAAAACATAAACCGATATAACAGAACCTATGTGTAACGTAGGTGGAAGAGATAACCAATAATTTAGTTAACAATAATGAATTTCGTTTGAAACTTATGTTAAATTCAAACATAAATATTTCGACTATTCAAATTGAAAACTGAAGAAAGAAGAGCTACACAAAGTTGGAAAAACAATTCGCTAGCTAAATGGGAAACGGGTTATGTGAAATTGAGAAAAAGCCACGCGGTGAAATTAAGTAAAGAGGATAAAGTTTATGTGTAACGTAAATTGATAGGAATTTTCTGATAATAGTACTTTTTTTAAAAAAATTACAAAATAGCAACTAGTCCACAAAAATTTCAAAAATAGCACATTTACATATAAACCGCACCTTCAAGGTGCATTTTATGTGCAAACCGCACAACGGGGGAGCTGTCCACGCTAGGGCAGCCCGAAAACCGCACTTTCAGCTTGTGGACCGCATTCTCGAGTCTGTGGTCCCCAGCACCGTTGGATGAGGTGGCGATCCAACTGCTAATCACGCGCCAGCGCAGCGATCCGCGTCAGGGATCGAAGACCGCGCACCTGGCGAACCGTCAACGCCTCGGTCGCCATGAACCGCGCCTTCCTAGTGCGGTTTTGTAATGGGCAAAATTAAGAGACCGCCCCTGAAGGGTGCGGTCTGAAAAGTATAAATACCCCCGTCTCCCTACTCATTTTTTCACACCACAACCCATTCTCCTCTCTCTCTCTAAAATTATCTCTCTATCCATCCCCCTCCCCTCCCAAAAGCCTAGGAAATAGTGGTCTGTTGGTTGCGGCTAAGTCCGATCTGCCATTAGAAAACATTTCTTTGGTTTTTCCTTCAAAACCCGCCGAATCTCTGTCCGACTCTCGCGAAAAAATGGACGAGTGGTTCCAAGAAGAGGGAATTTATTATGATGAATTTCAAGCGGTACGTACTCATTACAAAATGTTGTTGTTATATCCTTTTCAATTAATCTATGTACTAATGTTGTTGTTATTCTCTCGTAGGTTGGGGACGACGTGGATATATACAACCAACGGTATTATGTTGATCAAGGGCCTAGTGATCCAACCGTGTTGTACGACCAACCCAACCATCGTTCAAGGGATGTTTGGAACGATCACGAGGTACATACAATTCTTCATTATTTCTCTTTCTTTTAATTTGTTAACGTACTTAGTGGAATATATAATAAATTTAATCATTTTGAATCGTATTGGTTGTTTTCAATAATTTAATCGAATACATAGGCCACTTACTTAGACTCTTTATAAAGAGATACATGCCTAAGGAAATGGGGTTTAAGCGATTATCATGATCCTCCCATTCCCTGGGAAAATCGAGTTTTAAGAGATCCTCGGATCCCCCCTTTTTCTGTAAAAAAGGCTGCGTTTCTAAGAAGATGTATACCTCTTCTAAGAGTCTTACGAGTGTTGCATTGTATTCGATTAAATTATTTAAACAACCAATACGATTAAATTATTTAAAACAACTAATATGATTAATTCATTTAAACCACCAATACGATTTATGTGTATGTGTACAATTATAATTTTATTAATTTTAAATATTTTAATATGTATCACTTTAAATTATTATTCATTTAAAATGTTATTTAATTTAATTTATAAGTATGTTTGCTTTATGAAATTATGAATATATCTTGGAAAAAACTTTGAATTATTTTAATTTTTTTGTTAATAATATAATTATAATAAAATTATGGTCAAATTTACTTCATTTATTTTAATTAATTTAGTTATAAAAAAAAACTAGGACTTTGCTACGGTGACATGCACTTTTCGGTCGACCTCATATAGGATCAGGTCGACCTAATCTGTTATTTCAGTGTAAAACAGTTTCATGGTGCCTACTTTAGAGATTCATATCTTACAATTGGCTAGAGGGTCGTTTGCTTTTGGGATTTGGGTGATGGATTTGGAACCCAAATCCCAAGCATCATTGAGTTGACACAAATCCTTTGTTTGTTGAGGGGCACAAATCCGTGGGGTCCACGGATTTGGACCCCTTTTTTAGATCCAAATCCGTGGACCCCACGGATTTGTAAATCCCACATTTCATTTGGGATTTGACAATAGAAGGAAAAAATGTGAGACAAATCCATCACAAATCCATGATAAAAAATCAACTAAACAAACAATGTACTCTTCCAAATCCATGATGCAACAAATCCATCATAAATCCAAAGGTTTTTAAAACTCAAAACCTTCATTTTCAAATCCAACAAGCAAACGAGCTGATAGACCGTTATTTACACATGTTTTTACCCTCGTTCTTACACCGTTTGAGGTGTTGATTCTCGTGTTTTAGGCCGATTTCACGCTAGTTTGTGCTTGTTTGTGATTTTTCAGGTCCTAGTACGTGAATGGAGGCTTGGGAGCGAGTTTGGGGTCGATTGGACGAAGATCGGACGCATGGCGAGGTTCTGAGGAAGCCGCACGGGCAGTCCTGGCTATCACACGGCCGTGCAACCCTGGCCGTGTGATTTTTGCCGAGGCCAAACACGGGCATCCCAGGAAATTTACACGGCCGTGCAACCCTGGCCGTGTGAGATGGCTGAAGATCGACCTAAGTGATACGGCGCGTTTTGACTCGCACGGGCAACTAGGTGAGCCACACGGCCGTGTGGCCTGCCCGTGTGAGTCAGGAAATTCTGGTTTTTCAGCCAATTTCGAGCCAAAAGTGATAGGAGCGGATTTTCAGAGCAAAAACAGAGCCCTAGAGAGAGAAAGTACGAAGAACACATCCTAGAAGCTATCTTGGAGCTGGGTTTCGTCAAATCGAGCTTGGAGATCGTCATAGGAGTGGAAATCATCATCCCGGAGCAGATTTTCCTCATCATTATGAGTATGACTAATCCGATTACTGTTTTCTTCTCTCTCTCTATGGAGTAGAACCCTTCTCTCACTTGGGTATGAAGAACCCTAGTTCCTGGTGTTAGGGATTTGATTGTAATGACTTGGGATGATTATACTGTTTGATTTTAATCGAATGATGCATGTTTATTGAATTGTTTGAAGTCTGATAAGCTTTTCTCGATTTCTGCTGCAACTTGAGATAGATAGAATCTGATTAGGTTGTTAGAGCCTCTTCATTCAATAGTAGGAGATTGGTTATACGAGAGTTAGCCAGTTTACTGCTTTGTACTGGAATTCAATTCCAGTAGTGGAGTTCTGTGCTTATTGCTTCAGCTTTCTATCCCGGTGATGACTAGTCGTCTGTCGGGTAGTTAGACTGAGAGGGCTTGGTCAGCTTAAGAGATTCCAAGCTACTGTCGGATCTTCCGCAGTCTAATCAATAGTGAATCAACCCAGGGGAATTACAATTGAACCTAACTAAGGGGCTAGGGGGACTCATTCCCGAGTGACTCTTTCCTGCTTTTGAAAACCGAACCATTTACTGCTTTATTACTACTTTTGCTTTAAACAACAATCACTCGAATTAGTTTGCTAGATAATAAATCATCACGGAGTAAGCAGTAGATCTAGACCCCGGGTTGATAATAGAACTTGCCTGTTACTGCATTCCCGGACTGCGATTACACTAGGTCGACCTGATCCTATATGAGGTCGACCGAATCCTAAATGAGGTCGAACAGATCCTATATGAGGTCGACCTAATCCTAACTGAGGTCGACCGGAAAGTGCAAGTCACCATGACATGCATGTCACCGTAGGCACACCCAAAAAACTATTACTAGTATATCATAAATAATGTTAAATTTTTCGCTAGAAGGCATACCAAATAATCCGCTACAGGGGTACGACCAATGTGATCCCATGGAACGACGTTATTTTGCCCTCTCTCAAAGAGGCAAGGTTAGAGTTGATTAGGCATTTTGTGGGCATAAAAATCGATCGTCCGCTCATCACCACATTGGTGGAGAGATAGCGAAAAGAGACACATTGCTTCAACTTTCGCGAAGGAGATTGCACCATCATTCTAAAGGACGTCGCCATCCTAACCCATATGCACATCGACGGCAAAGCGGAGTGTGTGAGTGATCATGCGCCTGAGGATGTTGGAGATATGACCGGTTGACAGCATTTGATCCACAGTGTTTGGGAGGTTAGCGGGGCAATGTTCATCGTTCAATGTTGGGCTTGGGAGCATTTGCCATGGATTGGACCGGAGAAACGTCCCGACAGGAATTGGCCCGTCGAGGATCCCCTTCGAGGTAAAGCTTATGGTTGTAGGTAAATTTCTCATACCCAATCATGGTTTTCATAAAACAAATTCGTTATTTAGTTATAACATTTCATTATTGTCTTACTAATAAGGTGGGTTGGAGCCACAACATGCGACAACCTTTCCCAACACAAGTTGGCTGAGTATCGGAGGAGGCTAGAGCGACTTTGGGAAGGAGAGATAACTAGAATACTTCGAAATGTTATAACTTTTTTTGATGGAGTACATGTATTTTCCAATTTCGTTTAACTTAAGTTTATCATTTCTTTTTGTAGATCAATTACGATCCATACCCTGCCAACATCATTACATGGCATTGCCAGCAATTTCAGGGTCATATCGGTGGATGGTGCACGAGACTGCCTCTCATTTGTCACCATATCGTGGAGTGGCATTTGGCGGATAGATGCCTCCGTCAGTTTGGTCGGGAGCAATGCATTCCTTTGGAGGTCCCCGAGAGTCAAAGAGCGTTTCACCACCGAGATGGTCAGCAAGGTGAGCAAGATTGGCCCGTGAAGGTGAAGAAATTCATCCAAATGTGGGAGAACCGATAAGAATGCGAAATTTAGTAAATGTAGCTCGGGCGAAAATATAATTGCACAAATAAGTAGTAAACACCCAACATATAAGAGAAAGCAAGAAAACTTATCGAACTTAGTAAATGTAGCTCGACTCTCGAATGTCCCCGGCGGAGTCGCCAACTGTCGCAACCGTCCCTCCGGGGTCCGATGTCGTCGTGTCGGCATTTTTGGGAGTCGCCATCGATCTTACTTGGAGTGGATGGAACACTCTTAGGTTGGCTCTAACCTTAGAGTCAGAACCGAGATATGGTCTGCGGAAATAAAGTTCTGGGTTCGGGAGTACGGTTACGTGTGAGGAAGTTAAGCAACACCCCCACAACGCCCTAAATTGGTACTACTTAAGTCGATAAGTTTTTATGCGAGTTGGGTGTATTTTAGTAATGATTTTGTACTTTTGGGGTCCCACTGGACCATTTAATGATTTTATCGTATTAGTTGTAATTTAATTATACTCCCACTGACGTAAAGATAAAGCTAGTTGATTAGTTGGACTCGAACCTTATCGGTTGCCTACGTACCCGTTAGAAGGGATCAAAGTCCACGTAGTTCGTTGGCTTTGATAGTTTAATTGTATGACTTTTACCACATTCCACTGAACGTAATTTTCCTATTATAATTTTGTTAATAAAACTTCATTTAGGTGATTATGAGATTATGACAAAAAAGGCAAGGATTTTAGTTATTATGTAGTATTTTTGACGTATTAGAAAAGAAACAAGAGGAACTTAATTCGCAGTCAACATTTCGTATTAAGGGCGTTAACTCAAATAAAATCAAATGGGATGGTTATCTTAATGCATGATGGTCCAACAGCCCAACTGGTAAACCCGCTTGAGTTTGTTTTGCACGAGAGGGTAGCGGGTTCGACGCCCACTCGCCCTAATTTTTTTAGATTCCTCGTTTCATTTCAGAGAAGGAGGAAGGGTAGTTTCGTAAATCTATCTAAACGCGGTGGCAAGGCCACGTAAATAATTAGAAACCCTTAGGTTAATTTCGTCGTTTTAAAAGAGGAGGTATATATTCATCTCAATGAACCCTAATCATTCTAATCCTAAAGCAAAACCGGCCGCCTCACTCCTCTCGACCCTCTCTTCTCTTCTCTCATCTCTCTCTTTCGTCTTCTCCAGAAGAAGAAACCCTAGCCATCATCTAACACAGCCGCCGCCATCCTCTTAATCTTATTGTTATTGGCGAGATTGGGATTTTATGGGTTTTTCGATGGTTTTTTATGTAGCTTTTAATATACTAGAAATTGACGAAAATGATTTTTCTGTAATGGGGATGTAATTAACACGCTCTAAATTGCTTATCTTTGCGATTGCCACCGTTGGTGA